AATAGTGAGAGATTGTATTTTCAGTATGTTTACTGCTAGTTACATGCGTGCAGTTTAATGTGATAAAATTAGACGTGTCCTATTAAAATCAGGGATCTGTACCTGACTGACATCTCGTTTCTATTTCTGACGCATTGCAGCTTTCATTTCACATGGATGTGTAAATTAATAATAAATAGCTTTTAGTCTCATGATGATGATGCTTCATGTGAATGTTTCCTGAGCGCTGTGTTTGCTTCGACTGAATCATCGACAGATTCTACAGATGCTGTAAATACACATGAAACACATTTGAGACGAGTAAAAGAGTCGAGTGACGGTCAGAAAATGAAGATGAACTTGTGAGGATTCAGGATATTTTACAGTCTGTACGGCTGCAAAACTCCCATTTCTGACTGTCTTCGTTGCCTAATGTACACTAACTTATACCAAAAAAATTTTGTAAATACACATGAAACACATTTGAGACGAGTAAAAGAGTCGAGTGGCGGTCAGAAAATGAGTCGAGAAGATGAACTTGTGAGGATTCAGGATATTTTACAGTCTGTACGGCTGCAAAACTCCCATTTCTGACTGTCTTCGTTGCCTAATGTACACTAACTTATACCAAAAAAATTTGATTTTGTAATAAATTCATATTTTTATGTATCAAGGATGCATTAATAATATTTCAAAATGTTTTACTGCATTTTTGATTACATAAATGCTGTTCTTTTGAACTTTCTATTAATCACAAAAATCCTGATAAAATAAAAGGCATCAAATATGAACACTGTTAAAGTTTCAACACTGATAATACAATTGGTAAATAAAAAATAAAATAAATGTTTATTGAGCAGCAAATCGGCATAATAAAATTATTTCCGAAGGTTTTGAATGTGTGTTTGTAGATTCTCATTCTCACTTCTGAGTGTCTTTATGAAGAGCAAATATTAAAATACTGGCTGAAACAGATAAGACATTCATTATTTTCATGTTATGCTTGCTAACAAATAAAAAAGGTAATAATAAACAACCTGTAATATTGATTTATGCCTGGTAATGAACAAATAAGTCTTTAATTTAAATAAAGCAAACCGTGAAGGGCAATACATTACTGCTACATTAAACTCTTTCCTTTCATGAAATAATGCTCAATTCCCTGTTCATTACGAAATATGAGTTTTATGTAGTGGATTTGAAATGATGTGTTATGAATTATAGCGAACAGGACCTCACTGAATCGTTCACCGTGTCTGTGAATGAAGTACTGCATGCGTGAGGGTCAGTGATTGTACTATAGTAACCAGTGAAGCAGCTCAGTCCATGTTCTCAGAGTTTCACTCCTCACTGTGATGAAAATCCTCTCTGAAAGGCTTGTGTTCACCTCAGAGTGCAGAGTCTTCAGGGAACATTTGTCTGCTCAGCTGCACAGAATCGTAGTCTCTACCACGGCTCGCGATCACAATGACGCACATGCTCCTCAGCGGCTATTGTACTTCGCAGTCAGGAGCTCCAGCGCTAATGCGCTCTGTATTGTCAGGAGGAGCATGTGCTCGGAAATGAGCCACTTGTACTGAAATACAGCACTGATGTTTGGGACGCTTTGACCACCTGTGAGCAGAAGACTAGAAACTAGGACTGGGCGAGATGGCAAAAATACAATCTTTTTTACTTTTTTTCTTTTTCAGAACATTTCAAGTTTAATTTATTTATAAAGCACATTTAAAACAACTTGGTTGACCAAAGTGCTGTACAAAATTGCATGAGTCCATCACCCAAATTAAAACAGACATTCACAGGACATTGAAGGCACAAGAATACAAATAGGTTTTTTAAAGACTTTTAAACTCAGACACTGTATTCGCTGTACAGATAATGGCAGTTTGTTCCATAACTTGGGTCCAGCTACTGCAAAAGCTCTATCACCCCTGCATTGCAGTCTAGATAAAAAACTGGAACTGACAACAAAATTGATTTGTTTGTTCAGCTTTAAGCCACTATCCAGAATAAACCCAGATCCTTGACATCAAAAGAGTGATATGGAGTGAGAGAGCCCAAGTCAACAGCACTCAGATCAGTTTTCTCTGTAGGCCCAAACAGATGTAGAAAATGATTGGTTAGCCATGTTCTCAATTCTTGGAGACAGGCTATTAATTGATTTATGGCAGAGCTGTTTTTGCACCTAAATGGGATGTAAAGCTGAGTATCATCAATTATATGACACACCATATCTCCTAGAACCATTGGCTAACATATACAATGAAAACAGCAGCGGGGCCAAAGTTGAACCCTGAGGGACACCACATGTAACATGCGCTACAGAAGAAGAATGCTTCCCTATATTTACTGAGAATCTTCTGTTGGACAGAAAGGATACATTTGACCGATTCAAGATTGTATTTTTTTTTTTAATTATTATTATTGAAGAAGCATTCTCTTTACATTCTTTATGAACCATCTGGTTAAAGGAAGTTCTATTCCAAGCACACATGAAGTTTAGCACGGTGTAAATGTAAAACAAATTCATCTGTTAAATATCTTTGCAGAATCTTTGTTCAGAATGATATGAAGTAAGAAAAATTACATTATCGGTAACTCTTACTGTATGTATTATCCACCGTCATACAGAGAGACTTTCACCATCCTGTTAATTCATTATGGAGAAAAACATTCTTCTATTTTCTATTTTCTTGTGAAATATCCTGTTTCATTCACAAATCTGTAACATAATGTACATTGCCGTGCAATTATTTAAATAAATTAATACTTTTATTAATTAAGGATGCATTAAGGATGCATTAAATTATTCAGAAGTGACAATAAAGACATTTTAATGTTTAATGTTACAAAAGATTTATGTTTCAAATAAATGCTGTTCTTTTGAACTTTCTGTTCATCTGTGAATCCTGAAAAATAAAATGTATCACATATATACAATGTACACGTATGTACAGATATGCACAGTGTTGTAAATATAACAGATGAATAGATATACATATATACACAGACAGTACTGCCAATAGCACCGACTATACAATACGTAAAACATAATATACGTAACATCAGGAAATTGACTTATGGTAGGCATATACATAGTATATATAATGTGGATGTGTATGCTGTTATATTAATTATAGAAAACAGCAGTTTTAAACTGAAATAATATTTCACAATTTTTACTCAACTCAACTCACTTTTATTGTCACTGCAGCATTTACAAGTAAATGATGTGTGAAAAGCTTAGGTGCGTGTTCCAGACATTGCACATATGAGAACAATACAATTAACAATTAACAATGGTATACAATATATGATGTTTTATTAACAAGGTTCGGGAGGAGCACGATCAGATAATCAATCAGTCTGGCCCAGGTGGAGCTCGTCAGCTAATCACCTTAACAAGCACAATGCGTATATATATACAGCCAACTTACCTCAGTTCCACGACAGTTTTCCAGCATCCCGCCTCCACCACAACACCTCACTAATAATCTAATTTCATCCCAGTCTTGGGATGGGGGGGGGGTTCTCTGGGTTCGGGCTTTAACACGAGCTCAGAGCCCTCCGTCTGGACAGCACGCCAAATATGCTACTAATTGCTCAATCACATTATATGTTAGTGCGAACTCGTGAAACATATATACAATGTACACGTATGTACAGATATGCACAGTGTTGTAAATATAACAGATGAATAGATATACATATATACACAGACAGTACTGCCAATAGCACCGACTATACAATACGTAAAACATAATATACGTAACATCAGGAAATTGACTTATGGTAGGCATATACATAGTATATATAATGTGGATGTGTATGCTGTTATATTAATTATATATTTGTGCAAACGTTGTAGTGCATCAGTTGTAGTTTAGCAGTCTGATGGCCTGAGGGAAGAAGCTGTCCCGCAGTCGACTGGTGCGGGCCCTGATGCTTAGCGTCTGCCCGATGGCAGTAGTGAGAGGAGACTGTGACTGGGGTGGCTAGGGTCTTTGATTATCTTCCGGGCTTTCCTCACACAACGAATGTTGTAGATGGCCTGGGGGGAGGGAAGCTCACCTCCAGTAATGTGTTGGGCCGTTCGTATTACTCTCAGCAGTGCTTTGCGGTTTGCAGCAGTGCTGTTTCCGAACCAGGTGGTGATGGAGCCGGACAGGATGCACTCTACAGTGCATGTGTAGAATGATCTGAGGGTGCTGGAGCCCGTTCCAAATTTCCTCAGTCATCTCAAGAAGAAGAGGCGCTGTTGGGCCTTCTTCACAACTGCTCGGGTTTGTTCTGACCATGTGAGGTCATCGCTGATGTGGACGCCAAGAAATTTAAAACTTTTGACTCTCTCTACCGGAGTTCCATTGATGGTGATTGGGCTGTGTTCTCTATTCTGTCTATATCTGTATCTTTGATCAAATAAGTGCAGTCTTTGTGAACAGAAGAGATAGTAGGGTAGGTTTTACTTATAGTGCTGTGGAGTCTTGAGGTTTTTCAGCAGCATATATGAGTTTGGCTTCATTTGAGTGTTTAATCTGAGCGTGTGAAGAAATGTCGCTTCTGTTTATCACTACAACAACCCACTGTGTGTGTGTGTGTGTGTGTGTTAACAGTAATTCCCTGGTGAGAGTGTGTGTGTGTTTGAGTGTGAATGTGTCGTGTGACATTGAGAGAATCTCATCAGAACTGTGAAATCACTATCAACACACACACAGATTCACAGATCCAGACTAGGAGGAATGGAGAGTCCAAATGACAGAATTCATGTGTATCTCATCCCAGTCTGGATCTGATGCTGTTGTGTTCTGTCTGTGACCGAACGCTCGCTGTCATCTTGGCTGCTCATCTGTGTGTGCGTGTGTGTGTTGATGCTCTGTGTTTTACTGCTGCCTGATCTCTGATGCTGTGATCTTCCTTATTGCTCTCTTTTCTTTTCTTCCTGATGTCTTCTGTTTGTGTGTGTTTTCTTTCCTTATCTTCTCATTTCATTGCTCATGCTCCTCTCGTTCTGTTGTCACCAGTGACCCCGAGCTCAGGCGTCCTCCCCTCCGCTCCCCGTGACGTGGCCCCTGTCCTCGTGTCCAGCCGCTTCGTGCGCCTCGGCTGGCGGCCCCCGGAGGAGCCGCGCGGAACCGCCCTGACCTACGGCGTCTTCTTCTCAGAGGAGGGAATCAACAGGTACGTGTTCAGCTGTGGCCGAAATAATATCATGTTTCGACCAATCACATTCTAATCCATCCCCCATTGTGAATATTCATTGGTATATGCATAGATTTTTAATTTTATTGAATTGTTGTCTGCCTGAGTCTGTCTTACTTTAAAATAACGTTCTTTATGCTGACATTAGTTTACTGCATTACATGAGCTAACAATGAACAATATATCTACAGTAGTGGTTCTTTTTTACTTAAAATAATATATTAATAGATAAAACAATATTTTTAATATATTATTAACAGTATATTGTTTTTGTATTTCACTTATGTGTGTGTATATAAGATTCAAAAATAATACAGTAATTAATAAGAAATAATATATTATTTTTTACATATTATTAACAGTGTTGTTTTTATATTTCACATGTGTATGTGTATAAGATTAAAAACTAATAAATTAATTAGTACAAAAATAATATATTTATTTTAATATTAATATTTTTTATTAATATTTCTTTAATTAGGCCTGTATATTGGAAAGAAAACGTCTCGGTTACATACGTGACTCGTTCCCTGTTGGAGGGAATGGAGACGTTATGTCGTGATGAAATTAGGGGTTTACTCAGGAGCCCCAATCATTTCTGATTAAGAGAAAACACCAATGAAATTTGGCTAGTGGATTTTGTATGCTGAGCCAATCCCCATGCATATGGGTATATAAGGCGACATGTGCATCCAATTATTCAGGTTTTATGCTGAGAAGCCAATAAACTATCCCGGCAACAGTGATTGGTTCAAGGTCGTGGCATGGGGACATAACATCTCCGTTTCCTCCATCAGGTAATGAGGGTTACATATGTAACCGAGACGTTCCCTATTTGTCGGTCACTACGAGTTAAGTCATGATGATATTAGGGGTCTATGGAAACACTTGTTCTTGTTAGACACTTGTTCTAAGGGCACCCGGCCTGTCGAAAGCAAGGTCTGACCAGGGGCTCAACGAGCAGCGACATGCACATCTCAGGACTCGGGAGTGTAACCAGTGCTGAAGTGGTCTCATATGAAGCAATCCGAGCGGCGCGACTGCGGTTGTGGTTGCCATATGCCCCAGGAGCCTCTGAAAATGTTTCAGCGGTACCACCGTCCTGCCTCTGAAGGAACTCAGGCAGTTCAGCACTGACTGGGCACGCTCGTTGGTAAGACGTGCCGTCATACTCACCAAGTCTAACTCCATACAGAGAAAAGAGATTCTCTGCATGGGGGAGAGCCTGCTCTTTTCCCAGTTGACCCAAAGGCCTAACTGGTTGAGGTGCCGGAGCACCAGGTCCCTGTGATCGCACAACTGTTCTCATGACTGGGCAATAATGAGCCAGTCGTCGAGATAGTTGAGGATCCTGATGCCCACTTCCCATAACGGGGTAAGGGTACAATGAAGTAAGGGCTATAGAACCCCTGCTTCATCTCGGCTGGAGGGACAGGCTCGAGTGCATCCTTAGCCAATAGGACAGCAATCTCCTCGCACAGGACAGGGGCGTCTCGGGCTGCCACCAAATTCTCAAGGACGATGGGGGGGGTTGTCACCTGGCGACATGAATCGCATAGCTGGGTCGAACTGTAAGAATGAGCCAGCAGGACGGGTTGGGTAGTGCAAGCCACGCCCCCAAACTCCATGCCAAAGGGACAATTGACGCACCTACAGTGGTGCAGCGGTGGGAAGTTGTGCTGGATGGGGCAGGAGGCGTCGCATCCTGACTCACCACAGCTGGACTCCCCATGTCCCCGGAGGGACTGGCCAGAGATGTGTGGAGAGGCGCTGCGTCCCTGAGCTGTGATCTCTTGGCTGCTGGAGATAAGGGGCGTCGTGGGCGAGAGTGAGGAAGCAGCGCATCACTCACTGTCACCACACGAGCCAGATAACCTGGAGGAAAAGGAAACTGCTCTTTTATTGAAGTTGTGGCTACCGCTGGCTGTGAAGTCTGCGGCGGAACAAAAAGAAAAGGGAGCACAGGATTCTCCACCTGGCCCTCCTCCGGGGGAAGGAGTGGCGCTGTCCTCGACATCTCCTGAAAAAAGAGCAGTCACCCACATCTCCGGGTTGCCTGTGTCAGGGCCTCTTTGTCTTTTCCTTGAGGACTTAGCGGCTGGCTGGGACACGAGGGCGCCGCACTCCTGCGAGATGCTTGACGTGCCGGCCTCGATTTTGTCTCAGCATGGTGGCAGGTGTAAGATCACGCCAGGGCAGTATGTGTTGAATGGCGTCCTTCTGCTTCTGTACTGCTGGGAAAAGTCCTCGACAGTGTCACCGAGCAGGCCAGCCTGGGAGATAGGAGCGTCAAGAAAGCATACTTTGTCGGCATCTCTCATCTCGACCAGATTAAGCCAGAGATGACACTCTTGTACCATGAGAGTGGACATCGCCTTCCCGAGGGACCGTATCATGATTTTCATCGCCCGTAGAGCGAAGTCAGACACCGTGCGCAGTTTCTGCATCAACCCTGGGTCGGTACTGCCCTTGTGCAACTGTTTTAGTGCCTTGGCTTGGTGGAACTGCAGGATAGCCACGGCATGCAAGGCAGAGGCAGCCTGGCCTGCAGCACTGTAAGCTTTGACAGCGAGAGCCACCGACAGCTTACAGGCTTTAGATAGGTGACGCGGACGATTCCGCCAAGTGGCGGTGTTTTGCAGGCACAGGTGCACCGCAACCGCTCTCTCCATCTGGGGAATGTCCACATACCCCCTAGCTGCCCCACCATCGAGGGTAGTGAGGACAGAGGAGGGAGATGAGCGGCTTCTGGTCGTAAAAGGGGCCGTCCATGACTTTGTCACCTCCTCATGCACCTCCCGGAAGAAAGGAACTGGGGCAGAACGTGGATGTGAACCGTGCTCCGAACCCAGGGACCAATCATCTAGAGGTCGACCGATTGATTGGCCAGCTGATTAATTGGGCCGATTTTTGACATTTTTTAATTAATCGGCATCGGCCGATTGTGCTGCAAATTAGGCCGATTTATAGGCAGGCACATCTGTGTGCAGCTAAGCATTGTTGTGGAACGCCATACCGGAGAATCTCTCTCCTTCTGGCTGCGTGAGACACACAGCTTCAGCTAACGATGGCAGGGGAAAACAGGCCATTTCGACATAATTACGTTTTACCCTACTGGAATTGATGCCGGAAAGTAATCATATTCATAAGTGCAACAAGTCATTTGCATGTGAACGCAGAAACACGTTCAATTCAGACGAACCTTCTGGGCTGGCTAAAACGTGCATGTTAACTTTCCTCATGAAATGTGTCTGTGGGTCTGACAATAGCCTCCACGATCTCATCGCTCGTGGCCAGTGCACTCATAAGCAGCTATGATCCACAGGCTGTGTAATATGTGTGAACTTTTATTTTTGTTATCACTTAGATTATGGCCATATTTGACTTATAGCAGTGTCCAGTGATTCCCATACATTGAGTAATTTGTGGCGGTTCGTCACAATATCAAAACTGACCGCCACAAATAGATTTTCCAAAAGGCTTATACTTGGTTGAATAAACTGAGCACTGCACGCTTCAAAATTAAAATGCAGCGCCGGTGTTTTTATATGAATATATCTTTTTAAAAAAACGACCGTCTTCAGAAAAGCATA